CTGTCAATGCAGAGATCTATAGTCAGCAGCTGGAACGTTTAAATCAAGCCCTTCACTCGTCAATCGGAAAGGTGTTCCTCTTTTTCACAACAATGCATATTTGATGCAACACAAGATAATGGAGTTGGGTTGGGAAATTCTCCCCCACCCACCATATTCTCCAGATATGGCACCATCAGATTACCATCTTTTTAATTCACTGCAACACCATCTTAATATGAAAACATATGCAAATGTAGAAGATGTTAAAGAGGACATCGACATGTCTTTTGCTTCAAAACCAAGTGATTTCTTTAATCAGGGCATTAACAACCTGATTACAAGATGGAAATCCATCATAAATAAGAATGTAGACTATTTCATTTAATAAATATTTTGTTTTGATATACAAGTTGTTTGGGTTTTTTCATCCAAAAAAAGTGACATTAATTTCTTGACAACCTAATATCTTCCTTACCATTTGATCCATATTTGAAATGTATTATTAAATTATTGTGAAATTACAAAACACTGTTCATGTACTGTTTAATAAAGAAAAGACTATGTCTAGAGTCATATTTTGCTTCAATGTCATCTTGCAAAGTTTCAATATATTCAGTCACTTGATTCTCAAATTATAGATACTTTATCAGAAGATAAACAACGTTTATCAGAAGATAAGCAAAAGCAGTTTATTCATTTCCAAACACACTTTTTAATTTTAGCTTAAATCACAAAAATGTTACTACAGCATAGACAAAACTATATATTTTAAGATTTGTGATTATTACATTTTGACTTTTAATACTGTAAAATGGAATATTCTTCAACAAGTATGCTTATCATATGTCAAATATTTATTAGAGCAATATTTTCTGATATGCACACATGCACAAACCTTTCAGCTTCTAACCATAAACTAGAGTAAACTTGTATTTTCAATTTCTATAAAACAATTGGACACATTAATGAAATCATCCACTGATTCAGAGCACACTATTAGTTTTTCATGTGCTTTGAAACTGTCCGTAAAGTTTATCTATATCAAAAATATCAATATCTTTTTATTAATGTGACCATATATTCATTGATCAATCACATTACAGAAAATATTTTCAGGTTTATGCAAATTTTGTTCCTCCATGAGATTACCAGATTATACTTACAAATAACTAAGTGATAAATTCTAATTACACATACAGGGCATTTTATACAAAAAACCACACCTGCTGAAAAATATCAATAATGTTTGTTGTTACATTATAATTCTAGGTTATCATGATGTACAAATTGTACTTGTAGAGGTTACGGTACATAATAAGTAGTGTTACTATACGTAAACATGTTTGTCACTGAGTAAATAGTGTTACTATACGTAAACATGTTTGTCACTGAGTAAATAGTGTTACTATACGTAAACATGTTTGTCACTGAATAAATAATGTTACTATACGTAAACATGTTTGTCACTGAATAAATAATGTTACTATACGCAAACATGTTTGTCACTGAATAAATAATGTTACTATACGCAAACATGTTTGTCACTGAATAAATAATGTTACTATACGCAAACGTTTGTCACTGAATAAATAATGTTACTATAAGCAAACATGTTTGTCACTGAATAAATAATGTTACTATCAGCAAACATGTTTGTCACTGAATAAATAATGTTACTATAAGCAAACATGTTTGTCACTGAATAAATAATGTTACTATAAGCAAACATGTTTGTCACTGAATAAATAATGTTACTATAAGCAAACATGTTTGTCACTGAATAAATAATGTGACTATAAGCAAACATGTTTGTCACTGAATAAATATATGTTACTATAAGCAAACATGTTTGTCACTGAATAAATATATGTTACTATACGCAAACATGTTTGTCACTGAATAAATATATGTTACTATACGCAAACATGTTTGTCACTGAATAAATAATGTTACTATACGCAAACATGTTTGTCACTGAATAAATAAT